ATATGAGTAGATCAATAGGTACTGCTCTGGCGGGAAGGTAACAGTGCTCCATGCAGTCATGCTGGCCACATGACCTGGGAGGTGTCTACGGACAACGTCAGCTCTTTGGCTTAGAAAAGGGGATGAGCACTAACCTTGAGAGTCAGACAAGACTGGACTTAATATCAGGGGAAAACCTTTATCTTTACTAATTTAGTCCAATTAGTAAGAAGCACTCATTCCATCATTTTGTTTTTTCCCATCTCTCCTTCTTCGCCTTTTAAGGTGATGCCCTCTATAAGAGCTATGTCTGCCTTTATATTATCTGGTTTACTTTTGTTATTTACAGACTCCCTTAATATATTTGTCCAGTTATTTACACAGTCACAGTAGAATCTCTATAGCAACAAGGCATCTGATGTTCAGTCTCCATCGCTTTCTTTCAAGTCCAACAAATGACAAACATTATTTGTCAAAGGTTCTTAGGCTGTTATAAAAAAAACCCTCAAAGCTGAATTGTATATTTTCAGTAAGTATAACATACCTACACCTAGGCAAATCCCACCGAGAATACAAAGCTCACCAAACCAGAAGTAGAAAATCAGCAAAATATTATTTCTGTAGGCTCTTCCAAATGCTCATGTCATTTGTGAAAGAGAATATGTTTTTCATTCTGATTGCTTTAAAATGAAAGAGCATTTATCTTGAATGGTAATAGTGCAGGAAGCCTATAATTCATCAACCTTACTGGTTTCTCACTGAAAAGTAATGTGTTTGACTGGAATTCTCTAAGGCAGTGCATAACCTAGCATTCATGACTGGTTCTTATTCACAATCCCTCCATACTCCCTAATATACAGGATACTTAGGGGCCTTCCACACAGCCATATAACCCAGAATATCAAGGCAGAAAATCCCACAATTTCAGTTTTGAACTGGATTATCTGAGTCCACACTGCCATATATTCCAGTTCAAAACAGGATTTTATTCAGTTATGTAGAAGGGGCCCTAGTGAGCCTGAAAATCATCTAATCTCAAGTTACAGGACAGCAGCTGCTGTGAGTGTCACTGGTCTGTTTATTTATTATTTATTTATTTATTTAAAACTTTTATATCCCGATCTTCTCTACCTCCATAAAGGGACTCAGATCGGCTGACAGCAAAAATTCAAGGCTTACATTAAAATCTAAAATATCATACATCAACATTAAAATTAAGCAATACATATAGGATAAATTACATAAGAGCCGTTCGCCAAGATAAAATCATGTCAACTCAGTCAGTATATTCAGTCCATATAGTGTGGTCAGTAACTTTGGTCCATGTTGGGACGCAGCTTCCCTTGTAGTTGCAGTCTCTGGTTTTGGGGAACATTGTGATAGTGACCCCAATTCTGCATGTAATACTGGAGATCGTTCACAGGAGAGGGTCAGAACATCAGTCAGCTGCTTCCTGATCAACTGAAGAACAGACCCCCATTGATGGCAGAGGCTGCTGTCCAGTAGATACCACACACCTACTATAGTGATTACATAGCTGTGTAGCAGATAGAGAATTCCAGCTCCTGTTTACATATCTGTTTGGTTCAGGCCACTGCTAGCTTTCCTATTAGAAGGCTGTGGCGTAACATTGCGGTGCACCTGTGTCTGTTTTCATTCACAGCAGGATCATTAATTAGAGGATTTTTAAGAACATGCTCTGATTTAACATGTTTTGTAAGCCAACAGTAGTGGTGTGAAGGAATGAAGCTTAACTGAAGGCAGGAAGCTACAGCGACACTCTTCATTTAGCCTCATGGCTCCTCAGGTGGGAATCGGCTACCATCTCTAGCTGTAATTCCATACAGAGCAGTTAAAGAACACAGATTTTGAGAGAAATAAGCAATCATGCAGACAGCATTCAGACCAGTGGGAGTTATGCCACCAACACATCTGGGAACTGACTAGGAAAAATAAAAACAGAAGTAAAATGTTATATTAAAGCGATCAGTTGCATGGTAGTAGTTGGAACTTTGCAGCTCAGTTTACCTTGCTATTTATTTTATTTCCAGCTTTTTTTAAAGGTGTGTCTGTGTTGTAGAATTAATGCAAGTCAACACCATAGCTCAATACTATGGAATCATGGGAGCTGTAATTTTGTGAGATCTTTAGCCTTCCTGCCAAAGAGTACTGGTGACTTAAGAAACTACAAGCTACACTATTGAGGTCATAAGTGTCGATCAGCCTTCCCCAAATTGATGCTCTCCAAACTACAAATGCTGTTATTTTTTACTACGTTTTCACATTGCCCCACAACTCACTGGTTGTGTATGAGCAGAACTCTCATAAAGGTTTCAAGCATATTGCAATATCCTCATGGTCACATTTATGTAAATGATTGCCATGTCTTACTCAGTCATTTGCTTACTTTCAGTATTTTGCTACAGGAAGTCTAGGTCACTGGCGTATGTTATACTAGGGCATGAATACTAATTATCTAATACATACTATTGGTAGGTGCCATGGTAACCAAAGATTATTTGTGCTCTTTTTGCAATCTCTTTTTGAAATATAATCCTTATAATGCAATGGTGGAGGAACTATGAACACATATTTTTGCAAACAACCCATCACAATCTTTTTCCACAACTGGAAAAGATTATCAACATAGTTACTTAATACCATTAGGAGAGGAAAAACACACTGTGAATTATCAGTCTGTTACTGGAAAGGTGTCATAGGGACATAATAACAACATTTTATGCAATAATGATGTACTTGAAATAATCTATCTGTTCTTTGTCATTGTTATTAAAAGGAATTCATGAAATGACGGGATGTAATTTAGCAGTGGAAATGCAGGTGGATTGTGCTTTGTTTGTAGAGAAATGCCTAGTAAAATATGTTATAAAATGTTGTTATGCTGAGGCACCTAATTTTACCACAAAAAAACTGGGAAAACGTATTGACTTGAGTATAATCCCAGAGTGGGAAATGCTGCAGTAACTGGTAAATTTCAAAATAAAAATAGATACCAATAAAATTACATTAATTGAGGCATCAGTAGGTTAAATGTTTTTGAATATTTACATAAAACTGTAATTTAAGATAAGATTGTCCAACTCTGACTAACCATTATTATAACCATCTTCAATGTAAATGTGCTTACGTATCCTTCCAATAATAATAGAGTAAAATAATAAATGTAATAATAATAATAGAGTAAAATAATGGAAATGTAATAATAATAGAGTAAAATAATAAATGAAATAATAACAACAATAAAGCAAAATAATACATGTGATGATGATGATGATGATGGTGGTGGTGGTGGTGGTGGTGTAAAATAATAAATAATCTTAACTTGAGTATAAGCCAAGGGGAATTTTTTCAAGCTAACAAAAGGGCTGAAAAATGAGGCTTATACTCGAGTATATACAGTGTGTTATTTATTAAAACAAACTTCACTGTGATTTTAACATATGAGCTTCTTTTGTTTCCTTGGAAAAAAATCTTCCCTCTTTCATTTTGTAAATGTTCCTCCTGCCCCTTATTAGTTCCCAGATTTATTTTTGCACACTCGCTGCTAAAATATTTACTTTGCCAAACTGCATTGAAAATCCTCATTTGGCAATGGTTTCTGCTTCTAGGCATGGCAAGGAAACGAAAGGTATTAAAACATGGAAGTAATCATTGGGGTATTTAGTTGATGTCAGCACTGGCAAGCTGCAAAGAATGATAATTTGTGAAAGAGTATATGACCTTTGTATTGATTTTCTGGCAACAAAAATTGAATATTCAGAACATTAAAGGTATAAATTAAAAGTTCAGTCTCCATCAGCTGCTATAGGATTAGGGATTCCTGTGGGTGACTTTTAAGCCAGTCAAGTTTGCTTACCCTTCTGCTAACCTCCACGAAATCAAGGGTATGCACAGGACGCACTGATCCAGCATGTGGCCAAGGTATGTAAGGAGGTTAGTTGGTTGCATAGAACTGGAAACCTGGGTTGGGATTTCAGTCTACACCAGAACTGATTCAGAGTGGGATACTTCAGACCAGCTCTGGTGGGAGCCCATATGGTCAGCCTCTCCACCATCCGGACAGTTAGGAGTCCATACAGTCTAACTTTGATGGAACTGGTTTGGTTGTGAAGGACTCCCACGCTTAATGTCTCCATCTTCTTGTCATAACACACAAACACAAGGCACAAAATGGTCAATGACTGTCATTTGTTGCAAGTTCTGACACTGGCCAAATACCGGAGCAACTCAGGAGAGGGCGGGAGATTGTCCCATCCTTTTTCCCTCCCTTCCCCAATTGTCACCTCATAGGAAAGCAGGATGGCCATGTAAACAGTTATGGCCAGTTCTAATTTTAAAACTGGCAAAATTATTTGCATGTCCCCAAAGTGTGAGAGAGCTCAGAAGGCTGGGGCATCCCTAAGTTTTGGTTAGTATGGGCCAAAGCCACATTAAGCAGCCTTTCTGGGTATGTAGGATAAATCACTTCCTCCTCAACTCATTTTGCCTATAGAAATGGGCCCACGGAATCAGAGTAGATCTGTGGGCCCATTGAAGGGAAGCCTCCAATGGATTCCACTTTCATGCAAAAATGGAAGCTATCCTGTCATTCACAGAAGAAGTCCCATTCCAAGCTATGCTCAGAAGGAGACTGCCTCTCTGTATATACAATGCCATATATATCAGATCTGTGAATTAACTAAGTTCTTGAATTAGGGCAACATGTGCAATCCCACAGTGTGAATTCTACGTTCATAGTTTTCAAACCATAGCAGGACAAAAATAGTTCACAGTTTTATAAAGTAAATCACACTATCTATACTGGACCATTTATTGTATACCATGTGACATTTCCTATAGTACCTTGCATTGAAAATCCAAGCAGCTGGTTTGTCAGTAATAACAGAGATAACAGATTTGCTAGTTATCGTACAGTATGACTTGGTTTAAATCAATGAGATAGTAATAATCCCAGATTTTCAATGTTAACTTCTGCAGATTTATCTTTTGTGTTGAACTAGGTGGAAACAGCAACTGATTCGGATACTGAGAGCAAAGGTCTACGGGAATATCATTCAGTTGGAGTGCAAGTGGAAAATGATAAACGGTATGTTAAGCATGTATACAAAAAGCATGTACATTGCTGTGTGCTTGATATGTACTATATTATATATCAAGAATGCAGATAGATGTGAGGATGTCTATGTACTGAGTGTCTATGTACTAGACATATGCATTCGGGGTAAACATTATTCCGTTTCATGTCCCAGCTTTCGTTGGGGGCCCCGATCCGTTTTGTGTAAGCCTCCTGAAATTGGGAGGGTTGTTTTCGGTTCTTGCATTTTAAGGCCCAAAAATCGGATCATGGGGGGGGGGCTTCCCACCCTCTAGCTCCCCTTTCCACTGTGTGCTCTTCTTACTTGGCACCTGCTGTTTCTACTCTAGAGCAAGAGGCACTCGGCTGTAGGCAGTGGCAGGAGTGTGTGCTTTCCAGGCCTGCCTGCACACCCTGCCACACATGCACTCTCCATGGGAAGAGAGTGCGTGTGTGGTGGGGTGTGCAAGCAGGTCTGGAAAGCACACACTCCTGACAGTACCTGCAGCAATGCATCTCTTACTCTAGAGAAAGAGGTGTTCATCTGCTCCAGGCCTGTCTGCACGCCCCACCACCCATGCCCCGCCACACTCTCTGAGGGTGTGTGTGTGGAGGGGTGTGCAGGCAGGCCTGGAGCACACCTGTAGCTGAACCTGTCTGCCTGCCTGCATTCCCCGCCACACACTCTCTCTCTTTCAAAGGCAAAGAGACAAGTTCAGATAAACACAAAAGCAGGATTTTGTGTTGAGCAGATTTTTGTATGGGGAGGGGGCTTCCCATTTAGTGCTTCTGAAGAAACAGAAGAAAGAAAAGAAATGGTAGGAACAGAATGAATTTTGCACATATGTCTACTATGTATTCTATCAGTATTTTCCAGAAGTTTGATGACTCTATGAGCAAATGTCCTACCTCCCCAGCCCCCACATTTATTTATTTATTATTTATTTACTTTGCTTATATACCGCTGTATCTCAAGCCCGAAGGCGACTCACAGCGGTTCATTTGAAAAAATTATAATTTGTTTATTTGCCTTTATTCAGTTCAGCAATAATGTGAATCACTGCAATATTTGCAGGATATTACTAGTTCACTCACAAGGTATTTTATTTTCTACTGTGTGAACAAATCAATGTTGGCTTCCAAATGTGGTCTAAATGATTTCCATTCATATCTTTGTTCAGATCGGTACTAACAATGTACCCTATGTAGACTATGCTCCATTCATATGCTTTCTTAAAATAAACTGCAATTATTTTCCTTAAGCTTTCTGAAGAAGAATCCTTTTTAAAATCCTGAATAGTAGGCAATTTGGCATAATGTATTTTCAGGAAAGCATTTTTGTCAATATATGAATGCTTTGTGTGTGTGTGTGTGTGTGTGTGTGTGTGTATACATATATATGTATATGTATATGTATATGTATATTCCCATTCTTCTCCAGACATGGCCGGTTTAAGCGATCAAATAGCGTAACAGCAGCAGTTCAAGCTGACCTGGAACTCGAAGGCTTTCCAGGACATATAACAATGGAGGACAAGGGACTTCAGTTTGGTGGCTCTTTCCAGCGGCACTCAGAACCAAGCACCCCTACCCAATATGGTGCAGTAAGGACTGTACGGACACAGGGGCTATTTAGTTACCGAGAAGATTATAGGACCCAAGTAGACACCTCTAATCTCCCTCCACCCGAGCCCTGGTTGGAACCAGCCATTGAAACAGTGGAAACAGGACGGATGTCTCCCTGCCGACGGGACGGGTCATGGTTTATGAAGTTGCTACATACTGAAACAAAAAGGATGGAAGGATGGTGTAAAGAGATGGAAAGAGAAGCAGAAGAAAATGATCTATCTGAAGAAAGTAAGAGCTTATCTATATGTCTTATTCTTTCGATTTGAAATTTTCTTTGTAAGTTGCCCATGACACTCCCTCTCTATTTTTTATATTGCTGCTATGATTGCTTGGCTAACGGTTATTGTTATTACCATCATCATCATCATCATCATCATCATCCCACTTTCAACTCATAAAGGAGACTCAAAGTGGCTCTGGGTGGAAACCTGGCTTCTAGTGCACAGTTGTATTTGTCAATATTCTTACTCTCATTGCGCCAGCCCCCCATGCGAGGACATGAGAGAAACCTCCCACAAGGATGGTAAAACATCAAAACATCTGTGCGTCCCCTGGACAACGTCCTTGCAAGTGGTCAATTCTCTCACACCAGAAGCAACTTGCAGCTTCTCAATTCGCTCCTGACACGGAAAAAAATTGCTAACATTGAGTTCATCTTTAAGATATTGGTTTTAGCCAATAATATGTATCCTGTGATTTGGAAAGTACTGAAATCTTTGTGCAAATGGACAATTAAAATAAGTTGCAGGCACTCATAGCCCTTCTATTCAGAAATTTCTAGTAAAAGAGAAATTCTTTTAAAAATACATAAATGACTGCTACTTGACTTTCTAAAATCAGGAAATAAGCAGAATATGGATTGAAGGATTGAATTCCAACTTGTGGTGGAAGGCTATGTCTTTTTTATTCCTTGTAATTTCATCTTCAATGATAAAGTCACAAGTTTTTTTAAAAAAAAATGCAGTAGGTTAAGCTATTAAAACATCAGGAGAGGAGAAAAGATATATATATATATACATACACACACACACACACACACACACACCATTATTCCTAAGTCAAAGTCCAGAGTTTGATGAAGGTTGTATTGTCAAAGGCTTTCATGGCCGGAATCACTGGGTTGTTGTAGGTTTTTTCGGGCTATATGGCCATGTTCTAAAGGCATTTTCTCCTGACGTTTCGCCTGCATCTATGGCAAGCATCCTCAGAGGTTCAAGCCATATAGCTTGAAAAAACCTACAACAACCCATTTGATGAAGGTTGCTTGGTGGGTGGTCATTTTTAACATTAAATGATAGCAATTACAGAATTCTTTTTTTAAATAAAATGTCCCTCAATTATTGTGTTTCTGAAAATATATTTTCAAATCATGTGAAGCAGGGGTAGTACCTGAACCCCACCAGCTGTTGTGAGAGTTCAACTTTCTTTTATGCTACCCTCAGACATTATGATAAAGATATAAATATTTGAATAAATAAGCAAACATATCAGACTCAGTCAGAGATTATTGAAATTGTAACCTAAAAATATATAAGATGGGCTGCAAATTTACCTGTATGCTAAAGCCTGTTCACATTTACCAAAAAGTAAGTTCCCCTGTATTCAGCGGCTCTTACTACCAGTCATAAGAGTGCAGCATAAACACAGGGCATTAAATATGTGTTGCTGGAACAGACACTTCCGAAAGGGGAGAAACTGATGCTTTATATGAGCCCATTTGGGCCTGTTAAATCAACCAGATGAAAATTCTTCCTTTTTTTTTAATCGTACACAATCTGACACATTTATACCAGGATACTGTGGTGATATCACAGCCTTAGACAACAAAGAGTCCCATGACACCTTAAAGGCTAACTGATTTATGGCGGTCTTTTTATTGTCATTTGTTGTGACATACTCTGGAATTTGTCACAGCTTCAAATGTATCTTGATCTTGACATAGATGATATGAACACTTCTTGATGAGTACAAGTTATTTTGGCGCAAGGCAGCTCTATTCAACAGCCGCCTTTTTCTATGGTGACATACAGCTTCCAATAGGCTTTAAAGGAGAATCTGTATATTTAAAATGTCAGTGCTTGCCCGTGTCTGTATTTTAATGTAGCCTGAGTAGATACTTCTCTAGGATATATCTAGATGATATTTATGAGCGAGTACATTTAGGCTGTTTCTTGTCTATGATTTATTCCATCACATAAAGATTTAGTCAAACTAGAAGTGCATTTCAAAATACAAGGCTGCATCCTTTGCATGAAGATTTGTATAAACACGGTGGTAATGGGATTCTAAAGTACTGTATGGATAACCAAAGGATCCCACAGCTGTGGTATTATTTGTTTCTTTTCCACACTTATACCCCGCCTTCTCACCCCAAAGGGGACTCAGGGAGGCCTTACAAAGGTCACCCTGAGTCTACTTCGTTCAGTGCCTTCATTCAGTGCCTTCATTCAGTGCCTTCATTTAGTGCCAGTACTTCATATAACAATGTCCAGACTCCAAACCCCAACAAGCTAGTAGCCATTCTGGTGAGAAAATTCTGTGAGTAGTCCAAAAGGTTTTTTTTTCTTCCATCGCTCTAAATTAATTAACTTTTGGTGTTTTGGTGTTGTGCTTCAGCTCAACAGAACATTAAAATCGGCTGTTTTTTTTGTCAAAATGTATATATTGCTGTAATTTATAACAGGGATTTTGCAGAGACAAGGTCAGTTCCAATGCACAGAAAAATGCGGAGTCAGAATATATTTTGCTGGCTCAGCCAAAGATTGATTTAATCCAGCTTTCTATACCCAAGAATGCATCTGGGAAATTAACCAGTATTATGGTGAGAGCCAGCTATTTGACCTTGATGGTTGATCAGCTGAGGTTAATAGATTCTGATTTTGCCCTCTAGTCTGGTTCCTGACCTTTGTGCATTCATTGGAAAGTGTGAATCGAGTTTACACATTACTGGAAAACCTGGCTTTTGAAGGAGTACCAACCATAGGGACATAGCTGATATGGTTATGGGCATACTGAATCTATTTTGGACATTTCACCAATTAGAAGGAGGCTGGAGTGAAGGCCAGACACATTTCCACTTTCCTCTATTAACATGGCCATACTCAACAATACATTGAATCACAGTTGAGAATAATTTAGCCTTCTAGGCTCTTAGGCTGTGATTGTCCACACTTCTCAACAGTGGCTACTATTAATAGTTTTAGCTTTATAAAAATTAACACATAGACAAATAAAATCTCCCATCAATTAAAACATAAAAAATATTAAACTATCGTTGAACTATCACTAGTGCTAAAAACGATTTAATAGATTCATTTAAAAAGTCAAAACAAGGACATTACAGCAAAACTATTAAGAGCTTTTTCATCATAAATGGAAAGTTTCCAAAAGACCAACTGAAGTAAAAATGTCTTCATTCACTGGTATAAAAACAATATGAAGACTCTCCAGGAAAGTCTTTCTCCATGTTTTCTCTAAAGAGCCAGTGATGAAGAAGGAGGTCTCTATTGAAGTTCTCAAAAACCAAACCAAAGAGAGAAGCTTGTATGGGACAATAAGGTGCAGCATAATCTTGTTTAATAGACTATAGCAAGCTTGAGACCAACTTAGAATTATTCCTAAAGGCTGGAGCCAATGGAGTTGTTGGAATCAGAGAATCACATTAAACCCTAAAACATGCCACACTCAATGATCTAGCTGCAGCCATTTGGATCTGTGATCACTAGTTAGAGCTAGACCCACATTACATTGGGAAATCATAGAATGGAGAGGGACCTTACAGGTCAGTGTGCCTGACTCAGTGTGGGATCTCCAGCTATAGCATCCTCAGTCCCTTTTGAAGATATTCAGGAAGGAGACCCCACCACCTCTCTAGGCAATTTATTCCATTGTCAACCCACTGTTACCATTAAGTTCCTTCTATTGATTAATTGAAGTATATTTTTCTGTATCTTCAAACCATTCGATTTGGTTCTGATCTCTGGGGCATCACTCCTCTCTGTGGCAGCTCTTGAGGTAAAATTCAAAGGCATAGCCATTAGGCCTGGGTAACAACGGAAAAATTTGTTTCTAAAATCGATTCGTTTTTGGGGGGTTTTTGCATTTCGATATTTAAAAGAATTTCCGAAATTTTCCTTTTAAAAAGTTCGATATTTACGAAATTTCGTAAATGTTAAAAAAATTACGAAACAATAACGAATCGATTTCCGAAACAATAACGAATCGATTCGTTAATGGCGGACGCGACCGCGCAATACGCTAAAAAACCTCCAAATGGGACAGGGGGAACTTCTGAAGCTTAATTAAACCAAAAACAACTATAAAAACCCTTAGAAAACCAAAAACAACTATAAAACTTGCCCCAGACATGCGGAAATAATAACGAAACGACCTCAAAACGATAACGAAACGAATACAATAACGAAATACAAAACATTTACGAAACGATTTAAAAATTCGTTTTTTAAAAAAATTGCTCCAGACTGGTTCGTTATCGTTTTGTAATTGAAAAATTAATGAATTTTTTAACGAATTACGAATTAACGAAACGAAACCGCCCAGCCCTAATAGCCATATTTGTCTGAAATATCAATATTCAAAGGAATTTTAAAGCACCATACCACTTCATCACACAGAGACAAGAAAGTGTCCTAGCATGTTTCCTAGACAGAGCCCACTGGACGCCATCACACAATGTAAGGCTACTTTCAGTGGGGCTCCATAGCAGCAGTGGATTCATTGTGAATGTGGGGTTGGGTTTTTTTTGTACTGTGTAGACAAGTCCTAAGTCTGCTAAGTCTACATTTGAGAAAGTAGACTTAATCTATGAAAGGTTATGCTGCCAACATCTTTCTCTCAGTTAGTCTCTAAGGTGCTAGAAGAGTCCTTAAAGAGTGTTATTATACTAGCCCTCGGTCTCCAGTTTGTTACACTGAACAAGATGTGTCATTAGACAGTCATCAAATATTTTAGTCGCCATACCTTGTATCATCTGAATTTCCTACAACTTGCCTATATATATTCTTAAGATGTTCCCAGAACCAAACACAGCACCTCAGATGTATAGGGCCAACCAGCATTAAATATAGTGGGGCTATTACAGGCAGTCCCCAAGTTACAAACACCCAACTTACAGGTGACTCATGGTTAAGAACAGGGGTGAGACAACAGGAAGTGAGAGAAATCTATCCCCAGAAATGAAATTTCAGTCCTGAAAGAGTTCTTATGGG